AGGGAAATTTTTTGGGCCGGAGCTGGTCGTATCTCGAAAAATTCGTAAGTAGGGGCGTTCGTAAGTAGAGGCGAGTTCGTAAGGAGAGGGAAATTTTTTGGGCCGGAGCTGGTCGTATCTCGAAAAATTCGTAAGTAGGGGCGTTCGTAAGTAGAGGCGAGTTCGTAAGGAGAGGGAAATTTTTTGGGCCGGAGCTGGTCGTATTTCGAAAAATTCGTAAGTAGGGGCGTTCGTAAGTAGAGGTACCACTGTATTACATGTCATGGACCTTTTAGCATAAGAGGCTCTTTATTTGACATTATGATGGTATTAATTGTAATATATATTTTGCTTGTTTTATCCTGGGTCTATCCTGCACTTAGTTATAAGCTCCTAATAAATAAAGCTACTATGACTACTAAAGATTTCGTTTTGTGACTGAGACATTCAAACTGATCCATCCTGGTCCCATTAGAGGTCTTCCACAAGAATGACCAAGGCAGTTTCTGTCATGACCAGTCCTAAAAACTAGCTTGACAGGGATCTAGCAACTGATTCCTCCCATAACCTTTTTCTCCAAAACTTTCCCCAAATTGATATTGCTCAACAGAGATCTTTGTCTTCACCGAAGACAAATTCCTTGTATATATTTTATACTTGGTCATTAAAGTATTTTGTATTTGTATTGTATTGTATTTCCATGAGTTTTTTTCCCATTGTAGCCAATGTCCTAGTTAAGTCGAAACATGTGGAGAAATCTAAGATTCCAAAACAATGATCTTGAGGTTCTGTTTTAATTGATTCATTTTATTGATTGGTATGAGAATTACCCATCCACTGGATTGTTCCCAGGGCTTGAACAATTGCCCCCATTGCTTCTTCCCCTCAAAAGGTCCTCATTTGCATGCACAGAAAATAGCCATTCCCAGGAAAAACTCTTCCCTATATTCAGTGCTGGAAAAGGGACAAGGAAGCCATACTGATCAGGGATGGAAGAAACCACTGGTAGGGATAACAGAGGAGAACCATTTGGACTGCATGTTAATGGAAAACGTTATTATTTGCATTTGAAGTGGAAGTTCTTCCTCAAAATATACTGGGATTGAGGTTTTGAAGTCCAGCATACGGACACCATTTCTTTTTCTTTTTTCTTTTCAGCCAGACTGGGAAGTGGAGAATGTTTGATGGTTTCATTGTTTTTCCTGTATATTGCAGAAGGTTCCACTACATGATCCTTGCAGTCCCTTTCAAAGCTATAATTCAACGATTCTACTAAAGACGTCTTGGAAGAAGACCTCGGAAAACCATTTCCATGGTGTTGCCAAGAAAATCTGGAAGGAGACTACTTAGGAGCATTTCAACATGGCACCAAAAGCCCAGAGAAATGCTGGACCCCTTTGACTGTCTTCAGGCATAGGCTGGACTACTTCCTCAGGGGGTGGACTTGATGACCACAAAGACACCTTCCATGTTAGGATGCTATGCCCTTAAAGAAATGTAAGGATTATTGAGAGAGCATCTGTCAGAGCTGACAATCTTTTGGGGCCCATGGGAACATCTGGAAGTTTACCAGAATGTTGTCACAAAATGGCTGACACGGGGAGGATCTTGCCGATTCACAAAGTGATTGCCACTGGGTATGGCCAATCAAAAAACTTTTTCCCATAAGGCAGACCACAGCCCCTGCTCTCTCCTTCCACCACTCCATCAATTTCCTTCCACCTCAGCATCTTGGGTGGAAGTACCACCCAACTTCTGTTTTCTTTTTGGGGGGTGGGGGTGGGCTTACATCCCACAAAATCCTAGCATTTTCATTTTTAAGAATGTCTCTGTAGCCCATGTGGGACCTTTACCCAGCTTCTGATTTAGCTTTTATTTTATTAAAAGGATTTAAAACAGCTTAAAGTTTGGTGGGCCAGAGAACCCTAACCCGGAGATTTCTGCGGGTTGATCATGGGTACCCAGAATGTCTAGCCAGGTTTATACAAAACAAAAAGAAAAAAAAAATTGAATATCCAAAAACAGCTCAGAAAGTTAAATTCTGTAATACATGTGAGAAAGCATAAATGCTCCTCACCAGATGATCTGAATTGTTCACTGGGCGCATGCAGTTTTTCTTTTTTCAGACTGCTTGGTAAGAGCAGCCCTCACATTCATTCTGCTTGCAACTGTCGACCCCACAACAATGACATCACGTGCCCCATGACCTCATTTGAGCAATGTCATCATGATGCTTGTGACATCACTTACTTTCCTGTGGATGCTCCTACCTTGTGTAGTACGTTACAAGAGAGGAGTTCTTCATCCCCCAGGGGCTGAATCGGACTGTGTAGTTGACAATCTTCATGGTGGTGAAGTCGGGTTTCTTCCACCGCAGCCAAATTGATGTGGAACTATTGGAATTAACATGGACATGCCCAGGAGGTGGTAGGGGACCTTTCTGCACCGGAAGGTCTGAGAAGATAACCATGGAAAAAAAGAAGAAAGAATACATCTGGGCCCATGGATACATATGTGAAAGGGCCAGCATCAGTAACAGCCATTGTTTAGACAGCTAAATTTTCTGTCATGGGGCTCTACTTGTCAAATGCTGTCCTCCATGATTTCTCCCCCTTTGGAGTTCAGAGAAGGGACATTTTGGGAACCCACACAAAACAGAGAGCTGCCATGAGAATGGGCTTCCCCATTTACAAAACGGAGGCCGTGTTGGACACAGGCAACCATAAAGTACTTACTTTCCAGATGTCCAAGGGTGGCTAAAAGAATGAGCTATTCCAAGACCTAAATACAAGGCAAAGGTGATGTTCAACTTCCAAAACAGAAGTCAGCCATTTTTACACCCACCATTTTCTGAACCAATGTTATTTTCAGGTAGAACAGAAGCTCTCTTGAAAAGAAACATGGCTTACAGTCCAGCAATGGGGCAACTACAGAATGATCCAACCCTGAAAATCTTTCAGTTTTCTCCTTTTGTTTCTACCTATTGCTAAATCCATGGGAGCACGGTTCTTGGGAATTGGGGTCCTTTTTTGGAAGGGAGGTAGCCCTTCTGTTTTTTATCTTTGTATTGTTCTGCCTACCTTAAGATTTAACCAAATCTATTTCTCTTTCCTCCACGACCCTCTTAAGCTTCAGGATCATTCATTAGCTGGGTTCATCATTAAGGGAAATTATGTTATCACTAACTTTAGAAGAACCAACTATTATCTGCTTTAAATATTTTGAACTCAAGCAAATATTCACCACCCAAATAATTTCTTTTGACACCACTTTTTGAATGGGTTAAGCTTATTTTTGAAGCAATTGCAAATGTGTTTTTTTGAATTCAACAATTAAAGAAAAATTTAGAATAAGAACTTGCAATTAAAAGCCATAAAAGTGGGTGAAGCAATGAAGCAAAAGTACCAGGAATTAAACCACAATTATTCAAGTTAAATGATGGAACTCTAAATCTGCAGCAAGAAAGTCCTGCAACTTGCAGGGACAACGATTCACAAAACACTCCTTTATTTTCTTCTGTCACATTTGGGGATGAATTGAAGCCCTATTTAATGGCTACTAGCCATGATGGCTATCTGTGATCCTCAAGGACCACAGGGGGCTGTGTCTTTGTCATCCACTTGTAGACTTCCCAGTTTCAACAGATAAAAGCATCTGGCCAACCTGCTTGTGTTCAGAAGGCAAGCAGTGGAGATCTGGTTAGGCCTTGGATGGGAGACCAGAAGGAAATCCAAGGGATGGATGCTAGATTGGGAAATTGAAAAAAAAAAACATCCTGAAAGAAACAGTGGCAATGCAAGTTGCAGATTGTTGCCCCCCCACTCCAAAAAAAGATATGGATGTCTCTGTGATGACACCTGCAGATAAGCTCCTGGACATTTCATCCTTTATTTCATTGCGAACTTCCCCAGAGTTGACTGCTATGCAATGTCCAGATATAAATGGACTTTTGGCCATACCTTGCAGAAGCTCATTTTATTCTTTTGTCTCTAAGCATTGATCATTCTACACAATTTCAGAACCTCTGAAGTTTCAGCCATCCATATTCCATTTGGTCCTAAGACTAAACCTTCCAGACCAGAGATTTTCATACAAATGTGAAATCTTACGTCAAGACACAAATAGGCAGTTTTTATTGTGTAGCTTGGTCGTGAAAATCACCCTGAAAGAAGTGTTTGTAGTCTGGCCATGTTGTGATACTGAAGAGGAGGACTGAGATGGCCTTGAAGAAGGAATTCAGTGGCCATTATGTAAACATCAGCTTAGCTCGGATAGACAGGAAGGGGTGAGAAAGTTAATCAAGACTGCCCTGCCTTGATTCTATTTAGTGCATGAGAGAAGAGAGATTCTCTGGCAGGCTTTCAACTTTCTGCTATTATACTGAACAGCAATAAAGTAGAGTTCCAGTAGCCCTTGTGGAGCCTGTTTCCTGACCTGGGCTACCTCGAAGGGCTGAGAGGTACCTACCGGCTGCTGTTACAGGTGCTCGCTCTGTCCTGCCTTTCCACACAGCTGCAGAGCCATCTTCATGCTTGTTGAAAGCCACCAGCTTGACTTCGTACAGCTGCCCAGGGACTGGACAGAGTAAAACAGAGAAGCAATTAGTGAACAAAATGCAAAAAAGAGGTGAAAGCCAGAAAATGTTAGTTTAGCTGAACTAAGGCAACTGTAAAAAAAAAAAAAAAGATTGTCATTTCAACAGGCAGAATATGGAGTTCTTTTTCATCACTAAATATATAACCCATCCTTTCTTTAAGGCCTGCGTGCCCCACTTGGCACACCTGGCAATGCAAATGTGTCCAGGGGCACCTCCTTTACTACCTGCCAGGCTCCCTATCTCCAGATTTAAGTAAAAATAAATATAGTGGAAACTTCTGAGGTCCACGAAGACTCCAAATGTAGAATATGAAAAGGTTGAGTGACTGCAACTTTCAAACTTTTGCTTGAAAGTTTGTCACATGCCCAGAAAAAAGGACAAAAGGGAGATGGGATGGAGAACGCAGCTTGGGGGGACTAAAGAGGTGACAGGGAACAACTTCATCAATTTGTTTTCCAGGAAATACATGCTTTCTAACTAGCCACATCCTCCATGGCACCATTTTGTGAGGATGCTAGAGATGTGTTCTAAATTTCCAAACAAGCCCTCTTCTCCCCAGATTTGGAAACCCCTGTTTGAAGGCCATAAACAAGCTGGGGATCCTACCTGGTCTAAGGAAGTCAGGCTGAACATAACCAGTTTGTTTAAACCTACATTCTATTTCCAACTGCAGAGAACTGAAGACGATTGTCAACAAAGCAGAAAGGTATCTGATCTGTCCTGTTTTTGGTCTGATCACCTAGTATGTAGAGGAATCCTGCTTCAGTACATGGAATTGATAGGTTGGGCAGGGTTGAGAGAATGGCAACAAAGATGATACAGAAGCTTGAGGATGTGCTGTGCAATGACAAGCTGAAGGAACTTGAGATGTTCAATCTGGAGAAAACTAGACTGAGGGGAGACATGATAGTCGTATTCAGATACATAAAGGGAAGCTACAGGGAAGATGGTGGAGAACTATTTTCATGGCCACAAAAACTAGGACCAGAAACAATGAATGTAAGTTGCAGCTACCTAGATTTTATTTAAATAGAAGGAGACATTTTCTGCCTGTCAGATCTGACAACAATGGAACAGTTTACTTATGGAGGTTGTGGGTTCTCCATCTTTGGAGCCTTTTAAAAAGATGCTGGACAACCATCTCTCATGGATGATTCATTTCCTGCACATGGCAAAGGGTTGGGCTAGTTGATCCTTGGGGTCTCTTCCAACTCTACAATTCTATGATTTTATGAATTTCCATTTAGGTATTTAAACAACCCCCTAGATCATAGTTTGGAATCTGCCCTCTCCTCCCTAAGATACTCTTAGATAGCACCTTCCATCATTCTTGGTTATTGGCAATCTTGGACTTCAAATGCCATCTGAAAGGGCAGCTTTCCCCATGCCTGCCACAAGAAGGCCTACCTTCCTCCAGAAATTTGTCAGATTCAGTGCTCTCCAACAAGGTGCCCTCCAAAAGGGTTGGACTTCCCTTTCTATTGGTTATGCTGGCTGGAAATTATGAAAGTGCAACACATCTGGAGACCACAGGACTGGGGAAAGGTGGTTTAATTTGGTTTCCCAAAACTATCCTAGTTGGTGCACAGTGACCTAAATTTTGGTGGTAATAAATTCCCTAATCAGCCAAGTCATAGAAACAGAAATGTAGAGTTGGAAGGGACCTGAAGGATCACTGAGTCCAACCCTCTTCCATGTGCAGGAAAATCAAGTAAACCTATTTTCCAGAGGTGGCTATCCAGTCTCTTGTTAATTAACAAATAGGAATTGCAACTTCAAAATTAAAAAGATCAATCATGAAGTATTAAAAGCAAGATCGTAGAGCAAAGGCCAGCACTGAACAGGTGCCTGAAATCCACCAACCTAACCAGTGAGCTGCAGATGCTGGTGGAGTTTTTGTGGCTCTTCTTGAACCTCAATGGGAGGCAATTTGGTGTTCCCTAATTATGGGTCAATGGTACAAAAGGCCACTCCACGCTCTCCTCCAAATGCAGAGAACCCAAAGTAGGTCATTGAAACAGCTTGATTGCCTGTTGCCAATGCAGAAATGGGGCAAGCTTTCTTCTTTTTCTTTCTTAATCCAATTAAATAATTGCATGAGGCTGTTGCCCCACTGCAAGCCGCCCAAAGCAATCCCCATGCCAATTCAAAAGGAGTTTGGGAAGGGGGGATCCGGCCACTGCCAACTCAGAGCGCCCAATTCTGCCCAGCCAGCCAAAAGGGCTGTTTCTCACTTTGCTTGCCTCTTTTCTTCTGCCCGTTTTTTGGCCTCCTTGTTGGAAGATATTCTTTGAAACCTGTCCCGTACACACACAGCCACACAGACTCTTTTTTCTGTTTCCCTTTTCTCTTTTTGCAGTTCTGCTTATTCAGAACTGCTGGAACGGCTCAGAGTTTACAAATAGAAAGAAAATGGGGCAATTCTCTCTTGGAGCACCCAACCGCTTGTTCCCAAATGGTCTCGCCTCCACCTCTCCCCATCAGCTTCCCTGATGAAACCCTGCTAATTAAGGATGTGTCTATTCACTGCCTGTTGTGAAAGAGCACCAGCTCCATTCACTTCCACAATGCGGCCTGCAAACGCCCCCATTTAACCATGCCAATGGTATCGCTCTTGCTTTGACTACGTT